CCGACGAAAACAAATGTCCACTTTATGCTTCATGTTTCAAGTGGGATTCAATTAAAGTCAAATGTGAAAACAACACGCTGTTACTCAAAACAACTTTGCAGATTCAAGGACAATGTAAGTCATCTCGCGAGCAGTTTCCCCACTAACGTGGCGCACATATTGGGCTTGTGATGACATGTCGGTCGGATGTGTCTGGATGAGTGTTCAAACCGCAGATGCATCGCATACATATCGGATTTATATCCACATTCGGAAGACGAGGTCGAATTTGAAAAAAAGTCGAAATTGTACCGTTCACACATTCTCGCAAGCATGTGGGAAAAAAAATCTGAATTGAGCTGCAATGTGAACATAGCATAATTAGCCCTCAATACGGCTTCAAAAAGTGTGAAAACTGCTGAGAACAACCCTATTGGGAAACGTAAACATATCACTGTTGGGAAACAAAAACAAAAAAAAAAAAAAAACAGCAAATAATACCTAAACATGACAAAGGTGCTTGTGATCTTGTTGAATAGCTGAGTTTCGCAAATATCTAGCAGCTGTACTTTTGTAATAATAAACAAGTGTTTTCATGACGCTCTGATCTCAAAAACCAAAGATTTTCAACATGCGTGCACACAAACAGACAATTATAAAAAAAACTTTAAAAACCTGAAGCTTCGGCGGATGCAGCAGTTGCAACAAAGAAGTCCTCCCTCCACGTAAAAAGAAGTCGCTAGCAAGCAAGCAATGGCGAGCCGGCACCAGAAAGTGCTAACCTCACACACAGAGTTGAAGATTTGGGTGTGTTCCACTTTATATCACAGTATGAGAAGGTGTTGATATTGTTAGTGAGGATTCTTGGTCTAATGTTTCCATGTAAATCAAGTTGCCGTGCATTTTAACATGCCATCATTTCCCGCGGGACTTCACAGCCTTGTTGATGTTCACCGTGGATACCGCTAGCCCAAAATGGCCGCCCTGGCCCACAATGCAACAAAGTCCCCTTAGCACACAGTATTTATTGTATGCGATAAATTACACTGCACATTGATTTGCGAGCAGTTATTTCTTAATAAAAATGTGTGTTTTTACTTCTTATTACATGGAATTGTTTATTTTTAAACTTTGTTGCAACTGTACAAATGAAAACATAACTTTGTTCCGGGAAGTTTAATTGTACTTGCATTCATTTCATCGAGGAACAAAGATTTGTGAACCGAGTCAAACAACAAATTAAAAAGCAGAGCTTCCACTCCATATACTGTTGTCTCTGGCGTTTCTATGATTGGGTTATATGATAAACTTGGAGAAGATGTGTTCTTACCTGGGTTGAGTTGTGCTGCTTGTGAAATTGAAATCACTCATAAATTCCACCAACCAAAGTGATGATAGTTCAGAAATGACTGTGGATCGGCATTAGTATTTGGATTTGTTGATGGGCTGCAGAATAAGTCAGAAGATATCTTTAGCCAAATTTTAATGGCATTATGCGATATGGTAAATTGGGGGAAGGGACACAGTTTAATGTGAGACCATATGATTAAGAAGATACTGTATCAGAGTTGGTGTTTCATACTGCAATGTCACATAAATCAGGGGCCCCCAACCTTTTTTGCCCCACGGACCGGTTTATCTCAGACAATATTTTCAGGGACCGGCATTTAAGGTGTGGCGGAAATATTACAACGAAATAATATGGTTTGAGCTGCATGAAAACTGTGGCGTTTTCGAAAGATAATAATAAACACAAGGAGCGTCTAATCTGGCCGCAACACTCCGATCGCTTTGGCAATGTTTAATGCCTTCAAAATACGATACAACGCAAATTCAAAGTGCATGAAAATGACGACTCACCACAGCACCGAGCTTGATTTTCTGCAACCAGACGGTCCCATCTCGGGGTAATAGGAGACAATGACACCTCAAGTGTGTGGTTTATGTCTAGTCTACTTCGCAATTTTGTTTTCGTCGCCGTTGCTGCAGAAACCCCCCGCCTCACACAGGTAGGATGTCGGAAATGGCAACAGTGCTATTGTCGCAATCTCAGAGTATTCAGCCATAACTTTAATCCAGTTGTCTCGAACGTACTTTTAAGGCC